GGTCGGTGGTTCAAGTTCACCATCTGCCCCTTGGGAACCCTATACAGGGTTGCTATAGGTCAGAATCGACTTGACAGCACTTAACAACAACAATAACAGCCTTGTAGTTAGTCAGTCCAGTGATTGTCCTACAGCACCACACCAGGACTCCTGGAACAGTAGCATGAGAGGTCTTTTGCTAGTCTCCCTCAGTTCCTTGACACTTACTTCTCCTAACTAATTTGTCCTCTTCCCAGATAGTCACATTGTCCACATCAAATTTTATCCAAACTTTTGCCCAAGACCATCTGCTTACAAAGACAGTTTGAGGACTAAAGCGCACCTGACCCAAGCCATGGTGTTTTCAATAAGCTCATAAATATGTGAAATTTGGACAGTGAATAAGGAAGACCACAGACTAATTGATGCATTTGAGTTATGGTGTTGGAAGAGAATATTGAAAGTACCATGGACTACCAAAAGTACAAACAGATCTGTGTTGGAAGAAGTTCAGCCAGAGTGCTCCTTGGAAGCCAGGATGGTCAGACTTCATCTATCATGCTTTGGGCATATTATTAGGAGGGACCAGTCCCTGAAGAAGGATGTTTGTTAAAATGGAGGGTCAGAGAAAAAGAGGAAGACTACCAATGAGATGGATTGGAACAGTGGTGGAAGCGATAGGCTCAAGCATAGCAACACTTGTGAGGTTGGCCCAAGACCAGATAGTGTTTCGTTCTGTTGTGCATTGGGTTGCTATGAGTGGGTACCAACTCAATGGTTGGCACTGTGGGATAATGCACTGGAATGCAAGGTCAGCAGTTCAAACTCACCAACTCCTCCTCTGTAACCCTATACAGGGTAGCTATCTATGATTTTGAACTGACTGCAAAGCCATATGAACTGCAAGGTTTGTGGTTCAAGCTCACCAGCATCTCCTTGGAAACCCTATACAGGGTCGCTATGGGTCGGAACTGACTCAATGGCACTTAACAACAAACAACAACACATAGCATATCAAAAAGTCCTGGTGGCACTATAGGATAAACACTAGACTGCTGAGCACAGTTCATACATACTCACTACTTCTCAGGAGAAACACCAGGCTTTCTGATCCCATAAAGATTTACAGCCTCAAAACCCATACAGGGTCATTATGAGACAGGACCAACTTGATGGCAGTGGGAATGAGTATGTAACAGATCTGCATATTTAGCTGATTATTTTCTGTACACTTTATTTGAGCATTAGCCATGAGGATAGAGACTATCGTATTCATTATTGTATTTCTGTTAACTACTACAGTACCTGTTCATTATAATTATGTACAAAACGAATAGAAGGTTTTAGCAGCATGACATGTTTCTCAGAAAATTACATATGTAGAAGGGTTAGCTGACTTTACAAAAGAAGCTATCTAGACTCAACTGTTGGGTATCTCCTTATGCTTCATCCTAAACTTCTTGGGGCCTATCAAGGATCTAGCATTCATATCTATTTATTCGGATTCCTGGTGTAGCCCTGTGGGATCATGCACTAGACCACAACGTTGGTTTGAACCACAAAGTCAGCGGTTCAAACTCACCAGCCACTCCTTGGAAACCCTAAACAGAGTGACTATGAGTCGGAACTAACTCCACAACACTTATCAACAACAATGTCTATCTATCTGTCTATCTATCTATCTATCTATCTATCTATCTATCTATCTATCTATCTATCTACTCTGGTGTGGCGCTGTAGGATAATCACTGCAACACAAGGTTGATTTGAACCACATGGTCGGTGATTCAAACTTACCAGCTGTTCTTCAAGAATCCTACACAGTATAGCTTTAAGTCAGGACAGACTCAATGGCACTTGACAACAACAGCATCTGTCTGTCTTATCTATCTGTCTGTCTGTCTATCTGTCTGTCATCTTCTTAAAGTCCTCCTTAGGAAACTGTTGGGAATGATGGAATCCCCACACAAAAGTTTTAAAGTTGACATCTAAAATTTTAATTTAGATACAAAAATTATGCTTTCCAGAATATTTTAAATATTCAGATGTAAAATAAAATTGGTCAAATCATTTGCAAATGCCAAGGTAATATGAATACCATAATAATTTTGTATCCATTAAAAAATGAGGAGTTTTCCTCTAACAGAAAAAATTCCGTTTATTTTGATCTTTGAACTTTTATTTTCATTCTAATTTCCCTATATATTTTTCCTAGTATAGTACATTTTAGGGTTGAAAATCTTTTAATTTCTCTTTTTGCACATTTCTTCAGCTTTACTCTACCCAAATTTTATGTGTATATAATATAAATTATATTGTTGTTATTATGTGCCGTGGAGTCAGTTCCGACTCATAGCGATCCTGTACAGGATTTCCGAGGCTGTAAATCTTTACCGGAGCAGAAAGCCTCATCTTTTTCCTGGAACAGCTGGTAGTTTTGAACTGCTGACCTTAAGGTTTGCAGCCCCATTCGTAACCACTACACTACCAGAGCTCCTTGATATAAATTATATATGCTCGATATAATTTTATTTAATATATTTAATTATATTTTATTTTATGCATGTTGTTATTAAGTGCCCTCAAGTCAGTTTTGACACATAGTGACTCTGTATAGGATTTCTGAGGAATGGCTATTGGTTTGAACTACTGACCTTGTGGTTAGCAGTCCAGTGTTTATTCTCTGTTGTTGTTTTTGTTGTTAAGTGCCGTTGATCCCAACCCATAGCGACCCTGTATAGGGTTTCCGAGGAGCAGCTGGTTAGCTTGAATGGCCGACCTTGCAGTTCTAACTGCTTTGGAGTCTGGCGCGTTAACCCGCCACACAAGGATTCCAAAGACTCCATTTTATATATGGTGGTGGTGGTTGTATGCTGTCGAGTCAGTTCTGACTCATAGTGACCCCGTATAGAGGTTTCTGAGGCTGTGAATCTTTACAGGAGCAGAAAGCCTCATCTTTTTCCCATGGAGCAATTGTTAGGTTCAAACTGTTGACCTTGATGTTAGCAACCCATCATATACCCACTATGCTATAGTTACTTATGGACTCCTGGTGTGGCAATGTATGATCAGTACTGGAATGTGAACCACAAGGCTAGTTCAAACCCACCAACTGTCCCTCGGAAACCCTATACAGGTTGGCTATGGCTTGGAATTGACTCTATGGCACTTAACAATAACATAGTTATATTTTTGTTTTGTATATTTTACAAGTTTATATTGTTTGAATTGAATTTCCTATTTAGAAAAGTGTTATTTTATTTAAGAGTCAGCTATTATTATAACTTAGTAGAACATCAAATCATCATAAATGTGATAAATGTTGATAAGAAACTAAAGACAGAAACAATTTCCTTGGGAATCAGTATATAAATGAAGATGATGTGAGTGTTTCTTTTAGCTCTAGAATGAATTGGCTAAAAATTACTAATTGACTAAGTGACCATGCATCCTGCCTGGGTTGTCTAAGTTCCTATTTATAGACAATGTAATTATTTACTTTTTTCTCAAAAGTATTATAATTTTGATTGCAAATTATATGACTACTTTTTTTTTTGTAAAATGATACAGAGTACAACAGCATTTCCATGCTTATTTTTTCGCATTTGTAGATGTATATGCTTTTATCCAAATATATAACAGGGAAGGGAAGGAAGTTATTTTCTACCATTGTAACCCAGTTCTCAAAGTTTCTTCTGCAATATATAAGAAAATTATTGTAATATGAGTTATTATTTAAATTATTTTACTGACCTATCAGCAACAATCAGGTTTCTCTTTTACTTTTTTAGAAACAAATATTGAAAAGCAATTGACTGTCAAAAGAATTCACTGCCAGTCATTAGTCTTTCATTTATTCAATTTCTGGAAATATTCCCAAAAAGCTCAACAAGGCAATGAAATATAAAAAGATTGTCAATTATCACTTCCTCTTTTATACTTGTTGTTGTTGTTAAGTGCTGTTGCATCAATTCTGACCCATAGTGAACCCTCTATAGGGTTTCCAAGTAGCAGCTGATGAGCTTGAACCACTGACCTTGTAGTTAAAACGACTTTGCAGTCTGATGCATTAACCCACAGCGCCACACCAGGACTCCCTTTTTCACTTAGAGACATCTTATTTAACACAATATAATTGGAAATAGTAAAGTTTAAAATATTACTAAACTCATCTTTGCCATACCATGCACTTTTAATATATTTTTGTAAAATATATTTTGAAAAATAGAATGAAATAGGAAATCATTCTATTTAGAGAAAACATTCCTATTTAAATTAATTGGTAGAGTCCATCCTCATTGTCAAATCAATCAATCATATATGACTTACTTCCCCTCAGAAAACGTCTGAATTCATTTTAAATCAAAATAAATGTATTAATAAATGTTTCCTTGACAACCATCTCACTTCTGAATTTAGAATATTTCAGCAGCCTTACAAGTAGCCCATTTCTAGCAGACACATTATCCTTAACACAAAATATATATGACAGGGAAAGACATGAAGCCCTAAGGTGGATTTATGATGCCTTGATTAAAAGATGCTTAGATACAACAATATTTAAAATAATTCCTTTGTTTGGAGTCCAAGAAATTTTTATCCTCCAGAGCAGTGCTTCATTGTACATTCTTTAAGGTAAGTGTGAGCTATGCCTTTCCAGAAAAAAAGAGTAAAGTAGGGGAATGACTATTGGAAATATAAAGAGGTAAAAGAGGATTCAACTGGCAGGTCACTTAAAAATAAGTGAATTCTAGAGTTTTGAAAAGAGTGTATATAAAATGTGAGGCACTGAAAATAAATTGTCTTGCAACTATCTGTCCTATACTACTAAGAAACTCTTCCAGAGTTACCAGGCATGTGCACCCTAGTTAAAGACTATTTATTTAAAGCAAGGGCATCAGAGAAACTATCCCCATTTATTTTCCTTTAGAACAATTTGCAGCAGGTTTAGGTTTAGGACTTGCTGCTTCTTATCTTCCTTCCTCCTGAACTGAAACCTGGCACACATTTGTTCCCCACAGAGACCATCCTAGATGGGGAGCTGCCAACACAGCCCTGGCAAGATGGCTTCCTCCAGTTTACGAAGATGGAATCAGCCAGCCCAAAGGCTGGAATCACAACTTCCTATACAATGGGTTCTCACTGCCGCTGGTTTGTATAACAAGATGCTACTTAAATTGGCTCAAAATTAGTTTTCCATAATGCTAGCAAACCTCCTATAATTTTGGAGGTAACTAAACTTTAACTGAAACCTTGATCAATATGCCAGACTCTGCTTCAAGTGCTTTTTATAATTTCTTTTGATCTTCACAACATTCCTATGAGGTAGGTATCATTTTCTCTAATTATAGCTTAGCAACTGAGAATTCTGAAGATTAAAGTCACTCAATTAGTGAGAGGAACAATGTAGATTTAAATTAAGGTTCACCTAACTCTAAAGTCTTTGCTCTTTCCAATCACTTGTGTTTTTTAAAAAATTCCTTATTCATTAAGTATAATACTAGGTACAAAGGTATATACCAATTAGTTAATTCACTCATTTATGTAAAAATTATGATTATGCCTTTATTCCCAAAGAAGAGTTTGTTTACTAAGCAGATGTATATCTAACCAAGTCAGCTTGGCAGAATAATGGATCATTTTGTTACAATTTGATTACTTATTTCAATTAAAAACTTAGATAGAGAGGGTTATCCAGACCTGTGTTTCTTTTTATATTACTTTTTTTTTTCTCATGGCTTTTTAAAAAGAAATAAACCAGTTGATACTCTGTTCACCCTCCAAAGTTCAATATTAGAAATCATAATCTGGTCGAATAAACTGTGAATTATACACGAAGTTCTCCTATGAAAATGAACAAAGTTATTTAAGCAATTTTTCCAAATGGCTCTTTAGTAAGAATATCAATGATCAAGAAAATGTCTCAAGACTGAGTAAAGTTTTATTCTTTTAGTAACTGCCCTCTTGTATGGATGGCAAAAAACAGCTATATTTTTAATGAGAGGACCGTGTGTTTGTAGAATTAGAAAAAACTAGTGGGGAGAAGAGAGACACTGACGACATTGCATTATTTTCATAAGTAAAGGGTCAAGTATATCCAGTTCATCTTAACTTTTAAATTTCTGCAATTCACTTACCCTTTGTTAATCTCATTTGGATCATCTGTACAATGGGGCAATAACACTGCACCTATCTTTAGTTGGACACTAGACCAGTTGAACTCCTGAGAGACTGTTGGTGTGGCGCTGTAGGATCAGCACTGGATTGTGCATCACTAGGTTGGCAGTTCAAACCCACCAGTTGCTCCTCAGAAACCCTATACAGGGTGGCTATGAGTCGTAATCGACTCAATGGTGCTTAACAACAAAAGCATTGTGAAAACTATGATTCTGTGAAACCATATTTGTACTAAATTATATAATTATTTAGAAAAATCAGAGTTTAAGAATTTTTAAATGTGAAATGCATTTGTTTCCTATTGCTGCTGTAACAAATCACAGTTTTAGTTCTTAAAATAATACAAATAGCACCTGAAAATTCTGTAGGTCAGAAATCCGATATGAGTCTACAGTTAAAAAAAAAAAAAAGAAAAGGACTCTGTGTGGTGTTATAGGGTCAGCACTGGACTGTGTAGCACAAAGTTGGCAGTTCAAACCTACCAACTGCTCCTTGGAAACTCTATTCAGAGTCAGAACAGACTCAAAAGCACTTAACAACAGCAAGCTAAAATTAAGGGGTTAGTAAATCTGCATTACTTATGTGAACTCTAGGGAAGAAGACTTTCTTGCTTTTTTTCTATCTTCCACATTTCTTGACTCCTGACCTCTTCTATCTTCAAAGCCAGCAATGTTACATCTCTCTGAGCCTTTCTCCCATAGTCAAATCTCACTTTGATCAGAGCCACGAATATTTTCAGTGATTAAAAGCCTTTGTGGTTAGTTTGGACCCGCTTAGCTAGTTCAGGATAATTTTTCCAGCTCAAGATTCTTAACATGATAGCATATGTGTAGTCCGTTTTGCTATATAATCTTATATATATATTCACAGATTTGAGGGTGGACATATATAGTCGGTACAATATTCTGCTTATCACAGTCTGCCTACTGGTCCATCCAAATTCCTATCTTCACTACATGCAAAAGTAACCCTGTTATGAAGTCCCCAAGAAGTCTTAAACCAAAACTTCATCAACTCAAAGTCAGTCCCAAACCTCGTGTAAATCTCATCAACGCAAAATACCTGAATCTCATAATCTGAATTTTCTAAATTACATACTGGTGAGATTCTGATTATAATCTAGCCTGGGACAAAATTCTTCTCATCTGAATCTGATAGCAGAAACAAATTATCTACAATCCAAAACATGAATGTTGGACAGGATTAGAATAATAGGGCAAAACTATAGGTGCCTACAGTTACCTGGAGCGGGATAATGCACTGAACTGCAAAGTTGGTTTGAACCTCAAGGTTGACAGTTCAAACTAACTAGTCTCTCCTTGGAAACCCTATACAGGGTCTCTATGAGTTGTAACTGACTCAATGGCACTTAACAACAACAACAATTTATTAATGGAATGTTGCAAGTAATTTAGGAGTCCTGGTGTGGCGCTGTAGGTTAATGCGCTGGATTGTAAAGCTGGTTTGAACTGCAAGATTAGGAATTCCAGATCACCAGCTGCTCCTCAGAAATCCTATACAAGGTCACAATAGGTTGTAACCTACTCAACAGCACTCAACAACAACAACAGCAGAGGCATCCTACTTCAAAAGGGAAGAAAAGAAAAATGGAAGGAAAAAAAAGTCACTATCTCTAAACAATTTCCAAATCCATCAGCGCAAACTCCATTAGATTACAAGGCCTAGGGAAAAATCCTCTGTGGTTCAAAGCTTGAACCACTGGGCTTGCTGTTCCTTACTCTAAGTCATGTTTTACATCATAATAAGGATCAGATGTTTTCTGAATGACTTTATTCAGTTCCCACAACCTTGAGAAAACAAACTTTTATATTCATTTATAGAGGAGAAAACTAAGGCTCACAGAAGTTAAATTTAACACAAATAAGAGGGATAACAGTGATTGAAACCCAGCTTGCCTGTCTTCAAAACTCACTATCATTTCACTATAATTACAAAGGATAGATCTTCTCTAAGTTTGCCATAAGTTCTGAAAACAAGAGCCACAACATCAAATTTATTTTCCCAAAGTGTCCTTTTTTTTTGCTTATAATATGACTTTTTGTTATCATGACAAACTGATTTTGTCTTACTTAGGTTCGTGAAGTGACAAGACAAGTTATTCAAGTTTCAAACAAGGATGTCACAGAAGATAACCAATATTCTGATCTCCTAATGGTGTGGGGACAATACATTGATCATGACATTGCATTCACACCTCAGAGTACCAGTAAATCTGCATTTTGGAAAGGAATTGACTGTCAGCTCATGTGTGAAAACCAAAATCCGTGTTTTCCCATACAGGTAGAACTTTAACTCTTTTCTATCTCTCTTTTGTAAATCATGAAACTAAATTCCACAACGAGAATTATAAAATGAAAAATCAAAGTCTCCTACTTTTGTCGCTCTCCCAGGAGGATAATAGCTGTTAATAATTTCCTATGCATCCCACCTGAAATGATATACACATATATGTTTAAATAGTACACCCAAACCAAGCCCACTGCCATAGAGTTGAACCCAATTCACAGTGACCCTAGATAGAAATACTGAGCAGACAGTCTCATCTTTCTCTGTGGAACACCTGGTGGGTTTACACTTCCAACCTTGTGTTTAGTAGTCCAGTGCTTATTCTACAGTGCCACTAAGATTCCATACATGTGATATGAAACAAAGGAATTCAAAAAGTTCATTGAAAAGTTCCATTGTCTTTTCATTGCATATTTCTACAAGCTTTTTGAAGGCCCTTCATACACACACACACATTTATATATATATATATACACAAATTGTTCTATGTTTGATATGGTGCACATAGCAATATTTCTTCTACGTCTCTTGATAAAATTAGATGCACAGTAATTTGATAGTTTTATGATGTCAATATTCTGTTGTGTATAATAAGATATAATTCTTTGTAACTTATTTAATGACTTCCTTCATTAACATTTAGGTGTTTTCAGCTTTGTTGAGTTATGTCTAAATATGTTGTTTGCTGTCACAAACAATGCAGCGACTAGGACTCTCATACATTGCTGCTAGAACAGTGAAATGGTTCAACCACTGTGGAAAACAGTATGGTTCTTCCTCAGAAAATTGGAAATAGAAATACCATATGACCCAGCAATCCCTCTACTTAGCTTATATCTACAAGAAATAAGAGCCAGAACATGAGTAGATATATGCATACCAATGTTCATTACAGCACTATTCACAATAACAAAAGGATGGAGACAGTCAAAACAACCATCAATGGAAGAATGGATAAACAAACTTTAGTACATAGCCACAATGGAACACTATGCAACATTAAAAAACAATGATGAATCTGAGAAAAAACACATGAACCTGGAGGACGTTATGCTGAGTGAAATTTGTCAGTCATACAAGGACAAATATTATATGAAACCACTATTATAAGAACTAAAGAAAAGGTTTTCATACTTAAAGAAACATTTTTTGGTGGTTACCAGGGGTGGAAGAGAGAGTTTTCACAAGGTCAGCAGTTCGAAACTGCCAGCCGTTCCGCGGGAGAAAGATGAGGCTTTTGCTCCCGTAAAGATTTACAGCCTCGGAAACTCTGTACAGGGTCGCTATGAGTCGGAACCGACTTCACGGCACATAACAACAACAACAGGATAGACACATATTATTTCAGGTGACAGGGAGGGACATATGCAAGAAGAGTAAGGGGAATATACAAGAAGAAGGAGGTTGACAGAAGAATGATGAAGACATGTGAAGACACAGGGAGGTATGCAAAGATTAAAAGAGTAGAGGTAAACAGTAATATATACTCTATCTTAGAACAACAGTGCTATGCAGGTAGATACCTGGACAGAGACACCAACAGAATGGGTATGGGAGGAAGAGTGAGCATACCCACCAACAGAAGGGTTTGAAAGAGGATATTTGTACATGGATATTTATTTTTCTACAATACAACTATGAACGTGGTCGAACATATACCAAGCACAATGATTAAAATTCTTTAGATATTATCAAACATGTTAAGGCAATGAGTTGCCAGACTTTGGGATCAGAAGCATAGTTTCAAGGGACAGCATGGTCAGTTGGCATAACATAGTCCACAAAGACAATGTTTTATACCCTATTTTGGTGAGTAGCATCTGGAATCTTAAAAGTTTATGAACTATCTAAGGTGCAGGTATTTGTAGTTCTATGTGCATAAGAAAGAAGAGTGATGGTGTTTGAAGATGCTTGGAAGCAATTAGTCCAATGGACTAAGGGAATATGTAGAAAAAACCCTCAGATTTACTATTAAAAAGAGACAGGTTTACTGACCAGAAAGAGACTGGATGAACCTCAAACTATGGTTCTCCACCACCATAAAGATTAGGAAAAGAACTCACCTTTGTGGCCCAATTTTCAGCCAAATAGTTTTTGTTGCTAGGTGCCATCGAGTCAGTACCGACTCATAGTGACTTTATGCATAGCAGAACAAAATGCTGTCCAATCCTGGACCAACCTCACTGCTGTTGCCACGCTTGAGTCCATCGATGCCGCCACTAGGCTACTCCATCTCGTTGGGGTCCTCCTCTTTTTCTCTGACCCTCCACCTTCTCCAGCGACTGGTCCTTCCTCTCAATATGTCTGAAGTAGGAGAGGCGAAACTGGCCATCCTGGACTCCAAGGAGCACTCTGACTGTACTTCTTCCAAAATTTATCTATTGGTTCTTTTGGCAGCCCATGGCACTTTCAATATTCTCCTCCAACGCCATAACTCAAAAGCATAAATTCTTCTCCAATCTTCCTTATTCACTGTCCAGCTTTTGCATGCATATGAGGTTATTGAAAATACCATGGCTTGAGTTAGGCACACCTTAGTCCTCAAGCTTACATCTTTGCTCTTCAACACTTTAAAAAGATCTTGTGCAGCAGATTTGCCTAATGCAATCCATCATCTGATTTCTTGACTGCTGCTTCTGTGAGTGTTGATAGTTGATCCAAGAAGAATAAAGTCTTTGACAACTTCAATCTTTTCTCCATTGATAAGAATGTTGTTTATTGGTTCAGTGAGGACTTTTGTTTTCTTTACATTGAGATGCAATCCATACTAAAGGCTGTGCTCTTTGATCTTCATCAGTAAATGTTTTAAGTTCTCTTCACTTTCAGCAAGCAAGGTTGTATCATCTGTATATCACATGTTGTTAATGAGTCTTTTCCTCCAATCCTGATGCCATGTTTTTCTTCATATAACCCAGCTTCTCTGATGATTTGCTCAGCATACAGGTTGAATAAGTATGGTGAAAGAATACAACCTTGTGGCACACCTTTCTTAATTTTAAACCATTCAGTGGTCCCATGTTCTGTTCGAACAACTGCCTCTTCATCCAGGTACAGCTTCCTCATGAACACAATTTAGGGGACAACAACACTAATAAGGTATGCTCATGATGCAAAAGTCAATCATTCAAAATCAAAAGCTTTGTATTTTTGAGGAAAACTCTTGATCATTTTCTCATGGATTAGCTGGAGGTAAATGCAATTTATCATTTTTTAAAATTATAATGATTATTACAACAGAAATAATATAAAATAAAACTTAGGCCAATGAAAAGGCTGAAGGCAAAGCTTACTGTAGACAAAAAAAGAAAAGAATGACAAGTAAAACATCACATTCTGGTAACACTTAAAACTGTGAAAATAATGAGGAAAAATTAGACATGGAACACATAATAAAAATAAGATAGTTGACAGGGACTAAAATTTTACATGTTAACATTTTTTAATTAACCAATAGTAAAATAAGAGTTCCGGTGTGGTGCTGTGGGCTAATGAGCTGGAAAGCAAAGTCAGTTTGAATGGCAGATTTGGCAGTTCAAGCTCACCAGCTGCTTTTTGGAAACTCTATACAGGGTCACGATGGGTTGTGACTTAATCAATAGCCCTTAAAAACAACAACAATAGTAAGTAGGTAAATGAAATCTAAATTAATTGTGCATGTAAATGTTGGTCGATAATAATATATGCACAACCTTAGAATAACAATGGTTTGCAGGTAATTACACTACATGGACAGAGACACAGGCTAAGTGGGTATGGCAGAAAGACTGGCAGTATACTCACAAATATACAACAGTTTGAAAAGGGATATTTGGACATGGGTATTTACCTTTCCTGCAAATACAATTACGAATGTGGTGGAGCATGCAGTAGACAAAATGATGAACATTTTTTTTATATTATCAAACATCTTAAGGCAATGAGTTACTGGGCCTCGGGCTCAGGACCATAGTCTAAGGGGACACCATGGTCAATTGGCATAACAGTCCAGAAAGACAATGTTCTATATGCTATTAGGGAGTAGTGTCTGGGATCTTAAAAGCTCATTAGTTAGTGGTCATCTAAGGTGCAGCTGGTCAGCAAAGTCAGTTTGAACTGCAAGGTTTTGGTTCGAGTTCATCAGTCACTCGTCGGAAACCCTATGTTGGGTCCTTATGGGTTGGAAGACGCGACAGCACTTTAACAACAACAAAAGGTGCACCTATTGTTTTCTCCATGTACAGAACAAAGAAAAATGAAGAGAATTGAAGATGCTTGGAATCAGTTAGTCTAATGGACTACTGGGATGTCTGAACATCAGACTCTATGACTCTTAGACTAGAACTAGACAGCACCTGGCTACCACTACCAACATCTCTCAAAAGGATCATATTAGAGGGTTCTGGAGAGAGTAGGAGGAAAATGTGAAAAAAAGAAACTATTAATTAAAAAAAAAAGATCAGGCTTAGTGATCAGAAAGAGATGGGAGGAAATTGAGACTGCCAGCCCTTCAACTCTGGGAAGTAATTCATGCTTATGGCTTAATTTTCAACCAAGCAGTTGATAGGTGTATAGTGGGGACAGCAATACTACTGAGTTATGCTTAACATGGAACGGTAAATTATTCAAAATCAAAAGAGCAACATTTACCTAAGGCATAATATAGAAGGGAAGGAAGGAAAGATTGGTGGAATGGTAATAGGAACCACAGGGAGGAGGCAAGATAACTGCTGTTACATGGAGGGGATTGCACTCACTGAGATAAAACAAAGTGAATGGTTTGTTGAATGTAAAACTTATGATCTTGTCCATAAACCTTCATGCAATTCACAATAAAAAGTTAAAAATATATTGGAGCTACTAGTTTGTACAGCAGTACACTGTCTCCACCAATCAACATTCCCACCAAACAGAGCTATTGTTCACAGCTAAGTGGTTCCAAACCAGAATATCTGTGAAAGAACTAAAATGTCAGGTATGGGGATGCAGTTGAGATACACTCTTTCAAGCTATAAAGT